GAAGAATGGTTGCAGGAACTGGGTATGGCCAGTCTAGAGGAAAGAAGGACTAGGGGTGACATGATAGCAGTGTTCCAATATTTGGGGAACTGCACAAAGAGGAGGAGATCAACTTATTTTCCAAAGCACCAGCAGGCAAGAGAAAGAAGCAATAGATGGAAATACGGTTTGCAAGTTTTCTTCTTATACAGGTAGTCCTCAACACACGACCAGAGTTAAGCCCCAAATCTTCATTGCTAAGCAGTAAAGTTGTTAAATGAGTGACACAGGATCCTAGGGCAGTGTCATAAATACAGGCCAGTTGCCAAGCACCCAGAATTGATTAATGCAGCTAATGTATTTTCCCTGGCAGCTACAGGCCAACTGTAAGTCCTCAAATTACAACCATTCATTTAGTGACCATTCAAAATTACATTAAAAAAAGGTGACGTATAACCAGTTTTCACACTGACAACACTTATGTTGTAAATACAATGTACAAAATCTACAACCAATCTTGGGAAATTAACCTCAATTGTACTATCTGTAAAGTAGGAATTAAAGCGGAGGAAAAAAACAAGGAAAATATTGTCTGGTTGTAAACATGGTAATATTTTGGGAAATATGTAAACAAGAAAAGAAACAAGAATAATGAAAATCAACACTTTCCCAAAATATATTAATGTCTTAAGGCTGACTTCTCTTTCATTCTTTTTACTCTAAAATGACCAAATGACTTCCCATTCGCGTTTTAAATTTAGCTGAATTCCATCTAGGGTTTTGAGAGTATTATGGGCTGTGACATTAACACAATTCCCATTTGTCATCCCTAGGGCTGTCTAAATGAGAAAGGAACTATTTTTTCCCCTTCTGGAGAGATATTCGCCAAGGCCTAAAAAGTCCACCACACTTTCTGAGTGCAAGGATGGCATATTTGCTAAATTTGATCTGATGTTCATTTGCTCTCTGCGAACTTAATCTAATTTACCAACTTGCTATTTTGGGCATTTGAGCTTCACTTTGGAACAAGGAACAAAGAGGCCATTTCTTTTCTGTACTGACTCTTTCCCTAGCCTGGCTGTGGCTGATAGATGTGGTGGTCCAAACCTGGGTAATGCTTTAGGTCAGAGGCCTCCAAACTTGGCAACTTTAAGACTTGTGGACTTCAACTCCCAGAATTCTCCAGCCAGCTATGTTGAACTAAGTACACAAGTCTTAAAGTTGCCAAGTTTGGGGACCCCTGCTTTAAGTGAGTTGAACCAAGATGATTCTTTACTATCTGAAGAAAAGAATTCCCCAATGAGTAATCATGATTAGTCAGCCTTAAGCCATTGGAATATTTTGCCTCCAGAAGTTGTGAACGCTCCATCACTGGAGGTTGTTAAGAAGAGATTCGACAGACATTTGTCCAAAATGCTGTAGGATCTCCTCCTTGAGCAGGGGGGGTTGGACTAGAAGACCTCCAAGGTCCCTTCCAACTGTGTTATTTGGTTATAGGTAGTCCTCAACTGTTCATTTAGTGATCGTTCCAAGTTATAACGGCACTGGAAAAAACTGACATAACCGTTTGTCACATGATCATAGCAGCATCCCCATGGTCACATGACCAAAATCCAGGTGCTTGGCAACTGACTTATGTTTACGATGGTTGCCGGGTCTTGGGGTCATATATAATCATGTTTTGTGACCTTCAGACAAGCAGAGTCAATGGGGGGGGAGCCAGATTCACTTAACAGCCGTGTTATTAACAACTGCAGTAATTCACTTAACAACAGTGGCAAATAAGGTCATAAAATGGAGAAACAGTCCTTTACAACTACCTTGCTTAGCAACAGAAATTTTGGGCTCAATTGTGGTCGTAAGTCGAGGACTACCTGTATTTGGGGAAACTTGCCTGTTTTTATTTTTCTTCTTTCCATTCTTGTTGACACATTTCCACAAATATTATCACTTTTTCACCTTCATTCTTTTTTTTTTCTTCCTTTTTCTGGCTCACTCCTTTTATCCCCGCAATTTCATATCATTTATTTATTTATTCGCCTAACACATTTCCGTAGCCATCCAACCTTCAGGCCGCTCCCAATCAAATCATTTTTAACAAATGTAAAAGGCCATGCATTAAAACGTAATTGTGTTGCCATCTGTTTTTCCCTTCCTCTTCCTGCCTTTTTTTTTCAGCCCTTTCTTCCTGCTCAGTGTCCTTTCTGATGTATTCCTCCCCACTAGAAGAGCCTCTAAAAACCTTGTCTGATACAGTGGTGTGTGTGTGAATGATCTTGGGAGACAAGAGGACCCACCACAGCCTAGCAACCATCACACAAAAGGTCCCTCAGCCCCCTCCAATAGTCCAGGAGGGGTGCGGTGTTTTCTGATTGCGGTTAATTGTAAACCTTACAATAAAGCCAGAGTTAGTATTATGCTTGCTTGCTGCTTCTCCTCTAGACTACCCCAAAGGGCTGGCGGCCTTTTTGAGGTCATTACACAACCGCCTTTAAGGGGATTGTGAATACCATTAAAGGCATTGATATGTTTGCGTGTTTTGGTTTTGCACGGTTCTTTTATTTCACAATCTTCTTTTTATTGATTGGTTACTGTTATTGGTCACACACTGAGTGTGTGTGCCAAACAGGTGGCTGTATAAATAGTGTCAATGAACGAACGAAGGGGGGGAGCCTCCTCCGTGTATTTCTCCTCTCGTCCTTTTTTTTTTCCTTCTCTTTGCTCAGGGCTACCTTTCCCTCCTTCTGTCACTTCTTCCCTGCCCTTCTTTTTCCCCTCAACCTCCCCTGCTCCCCCTCCGGTTCTCTCTCCGTCCTTCAAATCCGCCTTTCCCTTCTCTCCATCCTCCCCTCGCTTTCTAATCTAGAGCTCCTTTCTCCCCCTATCCTCATTGCCTTCTTCTTTCCCTTCCGGCAGCCATCGCCCCTTCTCTCTTTCTCACCCTTTTCCCTCCCCCTCCCCACTGCCAAGGGAGGAGGGTGTCTCCCAAGAGATGCAGGCCTCAGTTCCCCTGCGCTTCCCCCCCCCCCCCCCCAGGGGGGGGGGGGGGGGGGGGGCAAAGCTGGCTCCATGGACTAAAGCACCTGCTGGAGCGAACCATGAGGAAGCCGGAGGGGGGGGCACACTGAGCTGGCCTCCTCTGGAGGCTGCCTCTGGGCATCTTTGACCTTCTTGTGCGCTTCCTGTCCCCCCCCCTCTCTCAGTCTTTCTTTTCCCTTTAGGGTTGCCCACTCCCCTCCCTTCCTGCTCCTCCCTCCTTTCCTCCCTCCCCCCCTCAGTTGCCCCCTCACCTCTCTGCCCTCAAGTGCTTCCCTCCCTCCCCTCCTTCCTCCCCCCCCACATTTTCCCCCTCATCTCCTCTCTTGCCCCTCATCTCCCTTCCCTCAATTGCTTTTCTCCTCCCACGCCATTTCCTCCTCCCTCCCCCCTTTCCCCCCCTCATCCCCTCAGTTGACCCCTTATCTCCCCCGCCTCAGCTGCTTTTCCCCCTCCCCTCCCTCCCCTCATCTGCTTCTCCTCCCCCTCCCTCCTGCAACTCTGCCCCCATTTCCCCTCACCCCCCCTCAGCTGACCCCACACCTCCCCTCCCTCAACGGCTTCTCTCCTCCTCCTCCCTTTCCTCCCCCCTCCCTCCCCGACCACCTTTTCCCCTCAGTTGACCTCTTATCTCCCCCCCCC